GGAATTAAGAATGACCGTGACGTGAAAAATCGATACAGCACAATACTTGATAATAAATACATTAAATAAAACATGACGGTACAGCGTTACATTGCGTTACATCACGATGGATAATGAATTTTAATGATCGGGCTTACCTGTGTTCGATATAATTCGCCCGCTCTTAATATTACCGTGGCTGGTATTTCATTATTTCCATACGCACAACGGAAAATGCATATTTCGTATTCCCGCTTCGTTCTGGACTCAATTCTTTATTCTTTTTTATTTCTCTCCTCGGCAACGCGCTCCGTCGACGTTCGCGGCTATTGATGCAGCCTGGTGCAGCCTCATAAATAATTGAATATTCCGCGCCGCATAAATTATTCTTAGCGCGCGTTTAACGAATAATTAAGTCTCTCCCCCGCCTATAAATTACTTATCGCGCGAGTGCTTGGAAAATGCTCACTTTCGCGTCTTTCGCGCGTGTCTCAGCTCAACTTTGCTCAAGTCAACTTGCGAAAGTTTCATCATCAATCTTCATTTCGTCGCGAATTTTTAGCTGAAAAGCGGAATCTGGGAATCTTCGGCCACTCGCGGTCACGTGGGGATAAATCGCGGAAGGACGAGATTCGAAAAGTGAAAAGGAAAAAAATTGCGGCAGACGCTCCTCGCGGCGCTGAATTTCGCTGAAACGAGCCTGCAATTTTGTATGCCGATGAACGGCGCAAATTGAATTTTCAGAGGCGAGCGTTAAAAGCGCGAGTTAACGGATCGCAGTTAGCGTGGCCGCGGCTCGGTCGCTTTCATGCAGAGTCGTTCGGGAGAGGAAACGCCGACGAAGCGAGTTCGCGTTCCGCCGCTGTTATAGCGAGCAATAAAACCGCGGGCTACGCGCTCCGGCTAAAACCAACGAAAAGGAACCGTGAATGGCCGCGGTACATTAAACATTCTCGCCTCGGCGCGGCGTTTCGCGCCGTTCATTTCGTCGACGAACTCTCTTTTCCTCCCTCTGCGCGACGCCGCTGCTTCAATGGGATGGCCTTCCTCATCGACGTTCTTACGCTCGTAACAATGCTTGTGAAACTTGCGAAAATTGCACTTGAATTGATTACGACTTGATCGCGTCGTCAAGCGGCTACCATCGAATTAACGATGTTACGTCGCGCCGGTTATCGCTCGCTCGCACCGTGGGGCTCTATGTATCTTCGCGATGATCGCGGCTGCATTAATTGTACGTGGCAATTAAGGCGACTTAACACGGACGTGGAGCCGTCTCGGGAGCCGCTACTGGTCGTTTAATTAATTTCAAATATAATCATTTAATCTCCTTCACCGAAACTTTATTCTTCAATTAATCTTGAATTTAATTAGAGAGAGAGAGAGAGAGTCGGGAAGGTTTTCTCTTCAAACTTTAATATCGAGACATCACATCACCGGGAAATTGGTTCGATGTTGACTTCCTGGCCGGAATTTCCGCGGTGTCGCGCCGGACCGCGCGATCGCAATTATAACCGATTCTTCAATTTTCTACCAAGAGTGACCCTCCGCTCGGCTCTCGTTTTTGGTTTCGCGTTCTCCGACGCGACTTTACAACTATCCGGATCTCCCTGCGATCGTCTCGACGGTCTCGACGGTCTCGACGGTTGCATAAATCGTTAAGCGAGCGCGTGCGGATATACACGTCCGCGGCCGATGCTACCGTAATCGTAATCATAGTCGCGCTTTACGAGCGCTTTATCGCGAGGGAGCGCGTTCGCGTTCAAGCGAGCGAGCGTGACTCCGCGTCGATTCACCGTGATTTAAGGGTGACTCACGCGGGAGAATATTGCCGGCGGACCTCTGTAGCACCAACGTTTAAACCCGGGCCCGCTGCTCCACCCGCCCGCAGGATGCACGTCCTGCAATACCGGTTTAACGACGGCGGGGTGGCGCGAAAGAATGTCCTCGAGCTTGCGAAAGCGCGCCGTCACGGGGGAAACTATAAAGAACACGGCGACGCTCTTGCTCGGGCATTATACGACACGTCTATCTCTATATAGGTTTTCTGTCCTGTGGAAGGCGTGATATCTTGTCGTTGCCTCTTCTCCGCGATTAGTCGATTGGTTACGTCGATCTTGACGAGAGAGTCGAGTGACTTACTTTGATGCTTATTGTTAGCGCGAACGGCTATCGTGGCGGAGGAATTAAATGACATAAAATAACTTGCAACGTGCTGAAATCACGATATAAAGTATAATGAATTGGATATAGGATTGGGAATAATAAATATATTATATGATGTATAATACGAAAAGAATCGTGTATGTGAGATCGATTAATATACCGCGAGAGACCAAATATTACAAGTGAAAAGTAAGGAACATATATTCACAGTAGGCTACTGCACTAATATTTATTTACATTAATATACATGTTTTTACAATAAGAAAATATTTTTGCACGTGAGGAGAGAAAAATATGCATTTTCTTAAAACCCTAGTTTTTCTCATCAAAAAGCAATTATTTATTTTATTCAGATAAAAGAGTCGAAATTATGTGGTAAATTGATAGATAATCAGATATATCCGGGGGGTAAGAAATACACAAGGAAATTAATTGATTTCCTCCGGGAGAAAATTACAGGATCTTCATCCTGTGGAATGCAGAGAAATACTTCCACACAGTATACACAAAGCAAGTCGATTGCAAATACTTTTCACGGAAAAGCGGGCACCTCACGCGATCGCGCTCACTAGCCGCGGTATTTACTTTATCTGAGGAATGTCTGAGAAGCGGACGAGCCGCAAAAATAGGCAAGACGATGTAAGTAGCCTCGTCGCCGCGCGGATTGAAGCGACGCCCGCCTGGCGTGCTATTTTAATGCGAGAGATGATCGATTAAGTATTCCGCGTGCGGCAAGGCCCGCGCGTGGCCGTAATTGAACGCACGTCTCTCGGTTTTTCACGCATCGTGAGACTCGAGACCGCGCACATCACGCGCTGCAAATACCATAACGAGCATTCCGACGAATCTCGGCACGTGGATTTGTTTCGCTCACGCAATTCTCGCGACGTGTCCGTTTCCACAAATTCGCAATCCTCTCTCTCTCTCTCTCTCTCTCTCTCTCTCTCTATTTCTTTACTTTCATCTATGACATTTTCCGCGCGCATTTCGTCCTGAAATAATCTCTCGACAAAATAATCTTTATTGATACGCAGAGCGATTTTGAAAGAGTCCAATTTTACATTGTTAATTATACATTCCTAATGTCATTCGGTTAAATGGAGATCGCTAGCTAGCTAGCTAGTCTCACCGTGAAATAGAGGAAGGGGAAAGAGAGAGAGAGAGAGAGAGAGAGAGAGAGAGAGAGAGAGAGAGAGAGAAAGAGAAAGAGAGAGAGAGAGAGAGAGAGACGCGAGTTAATTGAGTTTTACATAAATTTCGGATTTATAGAGATTAGCTGACCGAGAGAGGCCTTGAGCACCTCTGCAGTACTGCGACGTGTGAATTATTTAAGACCGTACGCGTGTCTCGCTTAGGGGCTCGCAGTTCCCAGATGAATCATTAGTCGGAGAGGCAAAAATGATAATCCCACCTCTGCGATAAATTCGCCGCTTTGTATATAACTCTCGATCTTTGTATCGCGCAAGAACAATATATCACCGTATCGATTGTCCGCCCTCGGGCACTGTACCGCGAGAGCAAGCCGAGAGCTCACAGCAGCTCCGAGAGAGGAACTGAGAGCTGACAGAGAAAGAGAGAGAGAGAGAGAGAGAGAGAGAGGGGGGGGGAGGGAAAGATCACTATACTCTCACACGCGCGATGTTACGAGAATCTTCCGGTGCGATCCAGCCAGCCGGTCCGCCCGTTCCTCTATTCCTCTTATAATCGCGTTTCGCGCAGTTATACTCGCAAGCGCACGCGTGGGCGAGGGTGAAGTATGAGAACGGAGACTGAGAGGGAGAATCGTGACCGTGCCAAGGCGTGTATAATAAGGGGGCAATATTCGCGGGATTACTCTCTAGCGTATCTTATGAGATATTTAGCGCTCGTAAATATTTATAATAAGTCTGAACGCGCGCGCGCGAAGCATAGTACTCGCGAAATATCAAGTACGGATTAAACAGAATATATTCGTGCGTTTTCCAAACAGACGGTCGACCAGAGACTCATTTATGGAAGCTGGGAACGTCTTAAAGGACTGGCGAAACAACATCTCGTACGAGCTTGCTCGTGCAGCCGGTGGCTTCGTAGCTTTACAACGCACGAGAAAGCCCGAGCCAATACGCTATCGACCGCGAGACGAAAGGCGCAAAGTCGGCCCGTCAGTGGTCGCCTAAACCGGAAATAAATGGCCGAAATAAATTCTAAGACAGGGATATATACGTTATCGCGTCTCGTTAGCCGACTCGCGATCGATCTTCGCCGCTGTGATTAATGTCTGCTCTTGCGGCAAATCCGCGTTGGATCCCGGAAAAGGCGCGTGAAACGCCTAAAAGAGCTCGCGCACTGCGAACCGGGAGACGACCGTTGCTTCTTCGCGAAACCGAAGGCGAGAGAGAAAGAGAGGGAGAGAGGGAGGAAAAAAGAGAACGATAAAATCGTCACGCAGTTATCCAGGACGACCTCCGTCATCATCCCGTGGTAGCTTTCGCTAGTGATCGACCGAGAGGGAACTACGTCCGTGTGGTCGAGCTCCCTCTATCTCATGTCGATTCGACGTAAAAATGCGGGGAAAATGGAGCGTGTAGGAAAAGGAAAAAAGAGCAGACGGGAAGTCGAAGAAAAGGCGAGTCGTCAGGCGAGTTGGAGCAGGTCGAGAGAGAGAGAGAGAGAGAGAGAGAGAGAGAGAGAGAGAGAGAGAGAGAGAGAGAGAGAGAGCCTCGACACACGTCCTTCAAAGCGACTTTTCGTTCCGTCCGATGGGAACGTATCTCGATTCGGCCGCGTGGAGATCGACGGCAGATCGGACGACTTTTCCGCATGAAAAGTAGGGTCGATAGACTCGAGTGAGCGAGCGACCGGGTGAACGAGCTTACCTTCGAGATTCGCCATGGAGAACCTGTAGCTGTCGATCCTCGGCGTGTTGATGTCCGAGTTAAAGGGCCTGAGGGTCGCCGAGCTCACATTGTCGAGACCCTACAACAGCAAGGACAACGATCGTGTTAACTTACATTGTCGTGTACGTTGTACGACGTAAGTAGATGTATCGGTGACAAAATGTAATTGTGGAAGTATTAACACACTATATATGGTATGTCACAGTATGAAATGTTTTTCGTGCATACTGATACATAAATATGTAACACGATACGTGTAATAATATATTTTTCCATACTAATAATAAGGGAGTGAAAATATTTTTTCTGTATAATAATTTAAATTTAAGTAGAAATTATAGATTAAATTTAGACTCAAACTTGAATCCATTTGTGCATTGTGAATACATTGTGATGTAATTGATTACATTTGACACTGTGTGTGTATATATCAGGTAACCGCCTATGGGTGGTTTCAATGAAGCGTTGCACGAAACATTCATGAATATCGAAAAACGTCGCTGGCACCGCGCGCACCGCGTGGCGGTAAAACGCGCAATTCGTATTCAAGCCGAATCCGAAACACGACCGCGGGTTAACCCCGCGGCGGCGTCTCTGCTCCTTGAGAATTCAAGTCGATCTCGTAATCCGCTCGCGATCCTTCTATGTTTCCACCCCCTGCCGCGGATGTGATTTGTACGAAGCCGCCGGATTCGTTCACCCAATTTCCGCCGAATAATTCCTGATAATGGCGACGCGAGGGGAGAAAATGGATTTTACGCGATGGTTGTACCTGGGATCACCGGATCGAATCCCGTGAACGTCTTCCTCGGAATTTTGTCTTCCCCTCGGTTATTCCGTATTATAAATCGAAGAATCCACTTTCTTCGGAATGTTATTCTCCATTTTACTGGTACTAGTTAAAATCATATTGTTTACATAGTAGAAATAATCGACGATAACGAAATAGTGTTGTCAAAGAAGAGTATGTGTCGACTTTGTGATAACTTGACTTAACTAACAGAAAAACAATGTTCTCTCTCTCTCTCTCTCTCTCTCTCTCTCTCTCTCTCTCTCCGTGCGATACACTCTTTAAAAGTAATCTAGATTACGTTGCGCGGCGATGAATCTAAAGCGATAATTATTTGTGTACGAACGTTGCACTTGTGATCCATTTTTCATGCACCTTGTGCGATAAACATCGACCGTTATAAATATACCGGCGGGATATATCCCGGTCTTTATTGTAGGTTATTAGAAGATTAATCGAGAAACGCGATGATGCTATCTACTACAGAATTATTCCCAGCCAATCGTGATAATTAATCTCGAGAAACCGACAGGCTTCTCCTTCCTACCCCCTTGTGTTCGTGGTATAAATTATTAATACGCTCGCGATAATATGCGCGTAACAAATTTTCCGAGAAATGATCATTCGACATTACCGACTTCACTATTCCAAGTATTTCTCGTAACGAAAATTTGTACCAGATATATACACACTCGGAGGAATCCGTAAATATACCGAATAAAGACTAGACATCAGACATTCCTTTCAACGGTAAAGTAAAATTACAACGTCACTCGTTGAAAGTGTTATCATCGGCAATAGCTTGCTTCTGGATATTACGATCTATTAGTCCCTGTTAAGATCGACTCTCACTAAAGCTCCGGAGAAACTTTATTTTAAACGGATACTTCCGCGAGATAAAAATAAGCAGCGCCTTTGTGTTACCGCTAAATCAACGTAACGAAGTTGATTAGCCGGCACTTTTCGCGCTATAAAATCACAACGACGACGAGGAGAGCAAAAAGGCAGGCAGGCTGGCTGGCTGACTGGCTGCTTCTCAGCTTCTAAGGATGACACGAGCGGATAACGCGCCTCTTATAATATCGCGCTTTTACACGGACTATCTGACCGGCATGCATCGATAACCCGGGAAAGAGGTGTGGGTTATGGTGAACGACCTGGTGGCCACTACTGGGTCACTGAAGTTTAATGTGCGAAGCAGGTAGTTCGATACAATGTAAATGGACCGCACACACGACCACCTTTGCGCAGCAAATGGAAAATTCTACCGTCAATTCAACGGAAGAAATTTATAAACAACGGCGAATACAACATGATCAAAACATGAGCGCGTACGCGTGTGCACATAGCGTTTCGCAACATTGCGAAATTAATAATATATGTATGTATACACATATATGTATTTATTTATTTATTTACTTATTCATTTATTTAGTCGCACGCGGGCAATCCCGAAAATTCATGTGTTTCGGCCGTCGCACAATATATTTCAGGCATTCGGTGTTTAATTATTTATTTATTTCAAAACGCCAACAAAAATTAACCACGCATTCGTGGAGGAAGGAAAGGGGAGGCAATATTAATTTTATCGCTAAAAAATATACGAGAGCACCAAAGGCATTGCATTTGACGTAATTCGCAAAATTTACAGAGGTACGCATGAATTCACGGCAATCGCACCAAAACATTTTTGTTCAACAACAGCGGAGAAGGAGGAGGAGGAGGAGGAGGAGGAAGAGGATTCAAAGTGGTGGCGAGTCGTTCATTACGATATTATCGACAATTTATCGTCGGACAAATCTCGCAAATTGGACAAAGCGCTACCGATAATGATGGAGATTGTCGTGACTCTGAAAAACTTTCGTACGCCTCTCCCCCGCGAAAGGCGGACACGCAAAATCCTCGTGCGACCGCTGAGAGCGCTGTGCCCTCCCCACTCGATTCTCGCCGGCCATGGAATTATTTGCATCGTCGATGACTTTGGCGTGGGTGTGGTGAACGACCCGCTAACCATCATTCGGCCGACCGGCGCAACAATTAGATTCGCGCGGGGATAAGGCCGACTCTTCCTGTAACGCGAAACCCGCGGACGTTACGCCCGTGTCTTGTTTCGCGCATATTTACGTGTATTACCGGCGCGCGCGTTTGCATTTACCCCGGGAATGCTCCAGGCTAAAAAGCACTCGGTAGTTTTTACCGCTATAACATTTTACGGTAACTTTATCCTCCGACACCCGCCTGCACTCTTAACCATCCGCTTGTCTCTCCCCCCCCCCTCTCTCTCTCTCTCTCTCTCTCTCTCCGATACATGGCTTTCTTCTCGAGTTTGGAGCTACACGTGTGTAACAGTAACGAGAAACAACCCTACTTAGAGAATAAGAGAGAGAGAGAGAGAGAGAGAGAGAGAGAGATTAATTTTCTTTACCGTACACTGTAAATTATGCCATCCCGCGAGATCCCGAAATACCCCCGTTTTCCTCAATCTCGCGCTTTCATCTCTCCCGCTGTTAAAATATTTTTCAAAAGCCTTGTGGATTTTAATGTATTACCGCGGCAATAAACAGAGAAGATTTTCTACCACGAGATATTACGGTGGTACGCTATAATTACCGCGGACGATGAATACCCTCGCGCGCCTCAACGAGCCGTGTAATTAAGCAGCTTTCCTCCCCAAAGTCCGAGAAACGAGCACACGTTCCACGAGGAGATTGAGACGTCTCCCGAGACGTCACGTCTCCGGAGATCGGGCTCGTTTTTTAAACGCGCGCGATTCTCGTCTCGTAACGATTCTCATTCGGCGAAAGAATCGGGAAAAGGGCAGCAACAAAGAGGAAGTTATCGCCCCGTCGGCTTTCCCGGTCCTTCGGCTTTCCCTTCGGCTCTTTGGCAGAACCTTCATCGCCGGGCTCGCGCGAGCGCGTGCGATTTGCATAATCAAATGTAAATTCTTCCGGGCGCGTCGCTCACGTGTTTCCGCGCGATACGTATAGGCTTACTCACGTCCTCCTGCGCCTTATGGCTCTTCCATCGGAATAGCCTGTCCATTTGGCAGGTGGAGGCGTGCGCGTGTACGTTTATTTCCCCCGGAGCTGCCCCCCGGAGAAGGAGGAGAGGAAGGAAGTCGGTTGATCACTCGGCGACTTCCATCTCGCGCGTTTTCGCCGATTGCGGCAGAAAACCGCGAACTTGGCACGTGGACGTGAACGGCTTCTTCGTTGACACTCCTTGACACGCTTCGATCGGCATCTTTGTCGGTTTGCGGACGGATCGAGGGATTCCTGATACGATCAATCCCTCCCGTTGGCACCTCGGGCTTTAGAACAGCTTTGTTGCAGCGAGAATTTTACGACAGCGCGTCGCCGAAACATTTAAACCTTGGAGCGGTTGAAAAGCACTAGGCTACTCTTCGGGAGAAAACCGATCGATCGATGAATCCGAGCGCGCGATCGCTGACGCTTCCTTGCGTCCTGCGTCCTGCGCGGCAAAGACGCGCGACTTTGCACGACCACCACACACTAGACGCGCGACGTTGCAGCGTCCCGTCTTTGCGAATCTGCTCGTGCAACGGACTTTTCCTTTCGTCACGTAAACACATGGAAACCTCCGGATCGCAGAAGCAATCTCTTCTGCGACTCTCCTGCGCGTCGATAAAGTGACAATCGGCGCCGAGGTGAGACACTGTCGGGTTTTTTAATCAGGTGACAAGAAATAGCGTGCGGATCACGGTGCGATTGCGCGTTTACGGTCGTCGCTATTGTTAGAGCACCGCGCTGCCGCAGGATCAAGCGCACACCGCGCGACGAGCGGGGAACGGACGGACGGACGGACGGACGGACGGACGGACGGACGGATGCGCGCGGCTAGAGAAGAGGCGCGGACGGACGCGCGGTATCTCGTGGCTGTCGTCGTGGTGCGAGCACTGGATGCTGATCCGCGAGAGATTCAACGTGGAGCCGGTCGGTTCCTCTCGCCCTCTCGCCCTCTCGAGTCCCTCCGCGTCAGAGAGGACGGCACAGGAGAGGACCTCTCGCCGCCTCTCTCTCGTCCTCTCGCTCGCTCGCCCGCTCGCCCGCTCGCTCGTTCGCCCGCTCGCGCGACTCCTGCCGCGCGCGGTGCGCTTGCGCGCTTATCGATTCCTCCAGTTCCCGCAGGAACACTGGACGCGGCGCCTCGCTCCCTCCTGCACACCGCGCATCCTGAACAGGACACTACCCTCGCGAGTGTCCTTGGCCGACGCGATCGTTTTCTTCCGGTGGATCAGGAGCCTTTTTATTCCCTAATCGACGTTCGCGGACACGACTTCGGATTCGGAGGACGGGAGAGTTCCCCCGAAAGGCTTCTCTTCAGAAACTTGACGGGGATTACTTCCGGTTTGCTGAACTTTTGTCGTTGGGGACGAAATGTGGAGCGAGATGTCAATGGGAGAGTATCTTCTGCTGTTGATGTAAAAATGACTGTGATCCTCGTTTGTGGACATTGGACATTCGTAACTTTGCTTGAGTTATTTTTTTCGTTAATAATTACACGTAATTTACACCTTTACACTTTGACCGTTCAGCTTGATTCGTCGGGATTTTATAACACGTCGTCGTCCGGTGTTTTACTCAGGCGCGTCGGCGAACGAACTGCAGGTCGCCTTGTTTGCAACCCCGATTGCGTGTGCCTACACACTCCCCCGAAGCAACGCGTAACAACAAGAAGGTAACCCCCGGACGCGAGCTCTGGGGTTACGGGACGGATGGCGACTCTATGCACGGTTACTCAGGTGTAGCGTTGCCAACCGCGCGATAATTGTACCGCGTATAATTAGCGTGCAGGCGCTATAATTGCGCGCGCGCGGCATATATTATAAAACTCTGATCCTCAGAGTGATCAGTTCTACACGATGGCGCACAGTACGCGCCGATCTCGTGTTGTAACATCGCGATTCGTATTGTTTATTTTTCATAGCGTGGGAGGAAAACTCACGCTGTTAAGTAGAATTATTGATACCAAATTTGCGTGGCTTCGAAATTTACATCACACTCTTTGTTGCCCGCAGGACAACAAATCTGAACAAATTTCCTTCGTGCACCATAGCCCACAGTCCGCAGTGCGTAATTCGTACTCTTCACTCACTCTCGGCGGCGAGACCAAACAAATGATTGCCGGTAAGCATAATTATTTTTTATAATTATTCCCTCTCGAGTTTGCTTCTAAACAGAGCGGCTATGCCGCTCAGGTGCTGTCGCATTGTAGAGTCCACTCATGCATGCGCGCACCTGCTGCACGTGTTCGATAAACGTCGTCTCGACGGGGGTTGAAGGGGGCGGGGGGGAGGGGGGAGAGAGAGAGAGAGAGAGAGAGAGAGAGAGGTGGAGGAACCCCTTCGTCTTGCCGATCGCCGACGTGCAATCCTATCCTTCCACCCCCGAAAAATACCGCTCGCGTCGCGAATGCACGGCGATACGGGCGAAACGTGCTCAGGCGCGCCGATGGATTAGTTGATATTCCGATTAAAATCAACGTGAAAATCGCAACGCGACATAAATCCACTAATCAAAGTTGTACAACTCCGTGTCAATTCCGTGAGACAACATTAAACTCGTCGAATTTCGCCGCTGTTGGAGTTCACCAAAGTTCACGGCGAAACGCTCGCGCGCGTTTTCACAAAGTGGCTGAGAACGCAGCGGCGCGTATTCTGGTCGAGAAATCCCAGAAACGTGGCGGACGATGCAAAGGGAAAGGGTAATTATAGACCCGTTGCCGAGGCCGCAAAGTTCCCTACGGGACTCTCGCGCTTCTCGTTTTGCGAGAGGACGACGAGAAAAACGAGTTCGATTCGAAACCGAGGCAGGCGCGCGCGCGCGCGCGCGCGAACACATATTTCCGTCTCGCGCCTTTAACGTTAAATGCGGCTGTCCGATTTGCCTGGCGCGTTAACGTCGCGATATTTCAAAAGGACGCGCGCGTTAAATGCTCCATGTTTATTTAACGACGAGATCGGACGCGCGATCTTATTATTCACGGACGGCATATAAAAACAGAAGGTGTGTATTATTCGGTAATGTAATATAACAACCTGCAACGCGATATTTACAGATTTAAAGCGGTACTTGTATTAAATCTTTTAATTACGCTGCGGATTATATAACATATATATTTTACATGTTATTTTATGTGACGAAGATACGTGCGACAAATGCAGATATTAAATTCTCAAACTCGATTTCTCGGTTTAATATCTAATTTCTAATTGTGTCGATATCGAGTCTCATGTAAATTGCATATTTTATTTAGAGCCATATGTAAATATACCCCGTAATTCGCAGCCCGACGTAAAGTCAGATGATGCGAAAATAAATTAAACCGCAACTCTTGACGATTAAATGCTTCTCAGTGGTGGAGCGTGTGCAATCGCTTTGGCGCGGCAAAACTCTTCGCGTGTGGTCAGGACGAGTGTCCTCGCGATCCTGAAGATCGTCTCGTCGAACCTCGTCCCATGACAGAGATATATTCGCGATGTCGAAGAGACATCAAGTCAGTCGGCTACAAGATATGTCGGAGAATAAATATGCGTCACGACGACACACTCACGCATTACCTTCACCTTCGTGTGTGCTTGCGTATCCGGTACGAGGATGCGTTCGCGTATATACGGTATGTCGAAATTACTGTGCTAGCTTTAAGAGCAATAAAAATAATTGAATCTGTTTTATGTTACAGGTACGAGAATCAATCAAAGCAAACACCTAGTCTAGCCCAGCAGAAAAAGGCATTTGATACAACACATGTCGTTCCTGAGATTTGAAAAAAGGCCTGAGAAGTTAATATTTTATTACATTTATATCGTATCATGTTACATTATATCGTATTATATAATAGTACATATCATATCATATTATATTTTATTATATTTTATTCTGCTATATTATAATTATATTATATTGTAATGAACATATATATTAAATATATTGAATAAAACCTTCTATAGTCTTTCTTTTTTTTACTTATTCCCTCCCTTTCTCTCCTATCTCTCTTTCTCTATACCTCTTATTTGTGTATGTGTGTGTGTGTGTGTGTGTGTGTATATATATCTGATTTCAGATAAATGTATATCTCATATCAAAATGTGAAAAATCAGAAAATGAAAAAAGAAAGATTCGTAAAAAACCAACGAAAACATTAAAATTGAGAAAATGAGCAACATTTGCGCTCAGTTTTTTTTAAATTTCCCGCTAAAAATTCGGGAGATACCTCTTCGGTTATTATATTCTCCTGATACAAAGATATGAAAATAAGAAAGCCAAGAAAATTGGAAATTTTCCAATTTTCGCGTTTTGATATCAGGAGAACATAATAATCGAAGAGGTATCCCGAATTTCTAGCAGGACATTTAAAAATTCCAGATTTCCCGATTTTGCATTTTCGTATCAGGAGAACATGATAACCGAAGAGGTATCCCGAGTTTCTAGCGGAAAATTTAAAAATTCCAGATTTCTCGATTTTACATTTTCGTATCAGGAGAACATGATAACCGAAGAGGTATCCCGAGTTTCTAGCGGAAAATTTAAAAATTCCAGATTTCTCGATTTTACATTTTCGTATCAGGAGAACATGATAAACGAAGAGGTATTCCGAGTTTCTGGCGGGAGATTTAAAAATCTGCAAACTTTCTTAGTTCTCAGTCCCGATTTTCCAATTTTGGTTAGCAGGAAAAAGTAACAAAGGACTTAAGGACGAAAGACTTAAATGGACTGGGAATATAATAGAAGCACAAATAAAAAGGAAACATGCTATTTTTCAAACCTTTTTATTCAGATTTTTTTTTTAATACAGTAAAAAAGAATGCGATACAATACATTATATCGAAAAATGTAATTAATATATGATATAATATGAAGCACGCAATATAATGCTATATAACATATAAACGAAGTATAACATAATTATATATTTGTCGCAGGCGGGGCACTTTTTTTTAATTACATAATTTTAAATAATTTTTCTGTATTCTTATACCGAGATCTCTTATACCGAGATCGGGATTAAAATCCGTCGAAGAATACATCTCGTGTACACCCTGTATACGCGCATGTACGCACACACATGTATCGATATTCGAGAGAACCGATCGCCAGTCCGCCTTTCCGCACAATGCACGATGCACTAGAGACATGCACGTGCACGCGCGATGTCATCGCACCTCCTCGAAGATAAGACGTTACACTCGGCGCTTTTCAGCGTGCGAAGCCCTCTCAGACGAGCGTGAAATCTCGACAGGCATCGCCAACAATACCCGCGTAATGTATAGCGATGCAATCCTCCGGGCAGCCGCCGGGAAATAAGCATTGAAAGAAATTCGAGGCCATCCGTAACACCACACAACGGGAAATGCTCGTTCTCCGTTGAGAGCTCGAGAGCGAATCTCTCCTTAATGATATCGAACACGACCAACTCGCGTAATAAATAATATAACACACATCGACGAGTCGAAAGAACACGGCCTAGACTTCCTTAAATTTAACAACAATCTTAAAATTAAAAAATCTACTCTAAATGTTACCGTCCTTTAATGTCGACTGTTGCACCGTCTTTATTAGGCGGTTATACCGTATCCTGCCAGTTGAACAACTGGCCTCTCGAATTGTACGAAGCAGTCGATCCTAATCACGACGATGTTGATCGACGACCCTAGTACTGTCGAGAATTCGCGGGAACTTTCGGCCAGGAAGCAACGCTCCTTTCAAGTCCGCCGCTTATCATCGTGTGATCCTTATGAGGGAACGAGGAACATCCTGCCGGATGGTGCGGCGAATTAGATCGGGCTAGTCCCTAAAATCGTCGCCCCGATGCTACGTACGATGCTTGATCGTAGGCTCACTTCCTTCGGTTATTACGTGGGTACCAGCAGAGATTCCGACTAGTCCCAATCAAAATAATTCGTTAACATCCGCGCGTTCGTTGCGCGGTCGCCTCGTTTGTCCACCCGCGAGCGCTGCGCAACGCGCTGCCAAAGAGAGCCCTTATATCATATATATGTATATATATATATATATATATATATATAACATAATTATTATATAAATTTACATGACAAATCAACTTTAATTTTTAATCAAACTCAAACTAATTAGACTTCCTTCACTTATTATAATTTCACATTACATGCTTAAGATTTAAAATTTTGTTTTGTATACAGCTCCTTTGCTTTTCGTTTTATACACAACTTATTAATCTTTAATTAAATTCCCGATTAAATTTCATATTACACATATTTATAATTCTGTTTTATATGTAGTCAAATTACTGCACATTTTTTCTTTTTTACCGCTACTTATTCTTCTCCGCGATCACACTCAACGACGTCCATCGTATCGCTGTCGCGATGCTTCTTCTCTCGAGCGACTGCTCCCAAGCTCCCAACTCTCCATCGTTCCTTCGCTCCTACATCGAGTGGAGTGTGGCAACCGTCAAGCGGTTGATGAATTAGATTGGAGATCTTCAGTTGTGGTCCAGCCGAGGTAAAAGTGCTGCCCTAATATTCATCGCGCCGGCGCGGGCGCGGTCGTCTTCCGCCGCTGCCGCTGCCGCTGGCCGCTGGCCGCGACGCGAGGGTGCCCGCAGTATCATCAATCGTCACACAGCACCCCGCCGTCGCGCCACCCGGTGTATCAATAGCGCAAGGGCGGGTTCGGGCCGGATCATATTTTACAAAAGCGCTCGACAGATAGTAGCGATGCCGGCTGTCGCTTGTAATGACTTAATGCTTTCAGTCCAATGCGAAATTACGCTGATCTATCGTCGCTCGGCGCGGCGATTAAAACACGTTTCAACGAGCATATTCGCTCGTTCAGTTTATTAAACAACGTATCAGCACGTCGCGTGCGCGATCCAGGCTGCCGATTCGCGACGAAAAACACGTCACGATTGATTGCCGCCCAGTGTAATCCCAGAGTTCGCGCGAGCGTCTGTGCCCGCGCGATAACCTGAGCATCGATTAATTTGTTAACTGTGAGCGAATGTGTGAGTAAGGGGACACGTGTGCACGCTTGGGTTATCTCGAGGTTATCAAAGTTGAAGCCTGATGGGAGGTTTAAGGAAAAAGATCGATCGCTGTGACGAACCTCATCTACCAGACTGATAACGTACATTGCAACTCGAGGAATAATAAATATGTTTATCGACAGACGTCCGTTATCGATAAGAAATGGAGTGTATCGTGGTCGATATCACGGTCGATATCACAGCTTTCACAGAGACGATCCGTCACAAGAAAGATCTAACGGATCTAAAATCGTAAGCTCATTTAGATTGGAAAAAATCTTTTACAATTACCTTTATAAATTTTATACGAAAATGCCTCCGAATGGGTAAACTGCTCTCGACCGATGGCAAACTTATGCAAATTTCTCAATTTTATGCAACATTAATATTACTCAACATTCCGAAATGAAGGAGTTTGCGAAGAATAAAGTTTGACTTTCAAGAAGCTTATATCCCCGTCTCGCGATGTTAATTAACTCGAGCGCGCCTATAAAATCCTGCGGGGAACCCTCTAAACACTTCCTATTAAGCCTCCAACAGTGTTTTACTACAAACAGCCGTTTACAACTCGGCATAAAGACCACCGTGAGCATTCCGACGATGTGTACGCGCCGCGCGCAGATCGTAATCGTTGTTGGCGAGAAAATACCTCGCGTGTGACGCGCGATGAATGCTCCCCGCGCACACATTTCGCGCGAGCGGCGTGTGTATCGCATCGCGTTAAGAAACGACTCGCTGTCGACCGCGATCGAGCCGAGAGCTCGATCAACCCCGTGATAACGCGCCGCGCGCCGATTCCTGCCTTATCTCAGCGGCACCGCGACCACGCCGCGATCCGCCGCGTGTCGGTCATCCCCGTCCACAGTTTGCTCACGCGTCTCTGCTGATGAATCGATGTTTGAGCAACCACGGGATGTACGCCTCCGCGATCTCCGCTAAGCGATTCCCTCCCCCCTCGCGCTCATCGCGATCGCGATCGCGAAATCAGTCTGCGAGGTTGAGATCGTGAGGGTCCTGCTGCGATGCTCGACGTCGCGAGAAGAAAAATTCGGAGGAAGCCGAGGAGAAAAAAATCCAAGCGAGGCCGAGTGCTCGCTTGGTCTCGCGGGGAGAGCAAAAGCGCACGCTCTCCGCCGCGCGCCGTGGCGATTTTGCGTATCGCTTCGCCGCGCTTGAAGCGCGTGTACGCATCGCAATTTCCGCGCCGCTGTCGAAGCCAATTAATTTGAGGGGCGCCGCGCAGTTAATTAATTAGTCGCATCAGCTACACGAGACGAGAAATTCCTAACTCGAATTCCTTCTCGGGTTCGACTTATTGGATCGCGTAATTTCCGGAATCGGCGAGCGCGCGGTATATCGCCATCATCCGCGCAAAGATCGTCGACCTCCTGCCGCCACGACGTCGCGCGCTGCGCCTCGATACGGCAAAATTTAATTTCGACGCAGCGAAGCGCGCGCGCACACACACACACACACACACACACACACACACATACGCACGTACGTACGTATAGTTTTACTTTCGGCCGGCTGTGCCGAATCTTGGCGCCGATAAAGTGCGCCTTAATAATGCTAATGGACACGCGAATCCACCCGCATCGGACAGAGCGTAAAAAGAAAAAAAGAAGGAAGGAATGACGGGAGGGAGGAGGAGGAGGAGGAGGAGGAGGAGGAGGAGGACCCTGCGAAAAATCGAAGGAGGATGCTACGCCTCGTTATTAAAAGAGATCACGCATCACGTCGACGGCTTCGCCGACAGATTTTTCCCTCCACTCTGGCCC